TAGTGATAGTAAAAGCTATAAGCTTTTAGTTAGTAATCAACACAAAGCACAATATTTATTTTAGCTAATTAAAGCCCCAACACCCCAACTGTTAGTTAAAAATTGCAAAAATAACTTATATATATAAAAGGCAGCGATACTCGCCTGCTTTAATGTAATCCAACTTTTCGTCGTAAATTCTCTAATATCTGGTCGCACCCGCGCTTTACTTAATTAGTTTCAGTCGCTTTAATCACTTTGTGGCCTGACTTCAAAGTATTTTCCCTCTTTTAGCAGATAAGTTGAGTTCGAATCGGCTCGTAGGTTTATTCTGTTTGCGATTTTCCTTTTTCGGGGGTAATGAAACTTTATTTTTAGCTGGCATATTGAATACAGAGCACGCAACACACATGCGAAACAAACTGCAGAAGATAAACAATGCCAAGCTCTACAAAATATTGAAACAATATTATTGTTTATCACTAGACCAGATGGATTGGCAATTGCTAGGGCATAAAAGTATATGGGAATGCCTGTAAAGTTCAATGCATTTTTATTATATGCAAAATTATCGATTTCCAGAGAACAACAATTTATTTTTGTGTATTTCGATGTATCTTTTAGTAGCCTTCAAATGGCACTTGGGCCTATCAAATAAAGTGTGGAAGCCAGCGCACGAGCTGTATCGAAATATATATATATATATATATATATATATATATCCAGTTATACGCTTCAGTGCGTATGTTATTCGAAAACCGATTAACCTTGAATCGCTGCCAATTAAAAAGTAAATTATAAATTCTCGTGTTAATGCATGGATAGATCGATCGGATGCTCTCATCCAAGATCTATCATCAGGCTTGGCGGCTTAAGTTTACTATCTGGTTTTTTTAGTCGTGCTAGATTCGAATTTGAAACCAGAATGGTTCCAATAACCAACTCAAATATTGAATATTTAATATCGAATTCTTTATAATCAAATTTTCTTGAATTGTTAATCTGTTTAATTAATTAATCATTATTAAGTCTTGCACACATTTTAGAACTTTCCACAGTTGTCACTTTGTGTATATTTAATATACTTAATAAAGTACTTAATAAAGTATTCAAAAATTCTAGATATAAATCTTTAAATCTTATCTCGAGAGTTTGGCATTGATCATCGATCGATCAATCAGTAAATCAATACTTTTTCTTATATTATTGCCCAATAAGGAACCAAGATTTATATAGAATTTGTTTTAAACTTTTTACTGTATTTGTTGAAAATTAAATATAACAATAATAACAATAACTATTTCAATGTAACAAAGCAATAACTCTTGTAAGTAGATATATAGAAGGCTAGGCAGTAATATTATTATAATAATGTATATTATATACATAACATAACATATATTCTTTTTATTCTAGAACTTTCCTAAATATACCTTTTAGACCATATATATCTTAATTAAAATATATATATAAACAAACCTAGAATAGTCAATAGGAAAAACAATATCACTTTTGAACTGGTCACTTTTGAATCACAAATGAATTTCAAATAAGTAAGCCTCATAAGTAGATTAAAAAGAAGAATCTACCAGGTCAGTCTGAAATTATTGCCATACAGCGTCTCTTATAAGTTACAAAATTAATTTTTCAGTGTAGCTTATACTTTTTTATGTGATATAAGATTCTAAAGGAATTTACGTGACACAATATTAAAAGACAAGAGCATTAAATTCATTAATAAAATAAGAATATTTATTAGTTAAGAAAAACGTTAATGTCTTGCCTTACTTTATTATTTCATAAATTTAAACAAAAATACGAAATTTATATTTATTCACTTATTTACATTTTTAATTGTAAAATTAATTTAGGATATACACAAAAACATAGATACCAAATATTTCGTTAATGTTTATTTTATTAATTATTATTGTATACTTTGTAAATTGTACGAAAAGGTAAAAATAAATATAATAAAATATTATTAATGCTTCACATTAATTGATTTATCAATGTATATATTATGAGTTAGAATCTGAGCAAGAATATTTTTACATAGTCAAAACAAAGACAAAGACAGAGACAAAGACTTTTGTCAAGTAAAGTATAAATCGAATTGCATAACAGAAATTTAAAGTAATTACTTGACCTGTAATGCGAACGGTATATATATATATATAATGCCAAAGATCTAGACTGAATTTCAAAATACATTTTGCAAGCGTACACAAAGAGCCCAAAATGTTAAGAAAACAAGTCCAATTCGAATTTAGATTTTCGTGTCGACACGCGGTTCAATTTTATTGTTCGAAATTCGAATAAAGATAGATGTGTGTGTGTGAACACGATTTTGTTATTTGCAAAACACTAACGGAATTAGTTCATCGCTCTATAAATTAAAATAGGAAAAGTTGAAGAATTGAAGTGGTTCAACAAGGAAATACCCTCTAAACAGTACTTAGCTTAAGTCATAGACTTTCGAAATAAATTTTAATATATATATTATTTCAGCTCATACTAAATATATATATATATACTGCATATATATGTATATATACATATAAATAAAGACTAGGGTCGGACAATTCTCCAACTGCGTCTCACATGAATTTGCATGCCAATTGGTAATGGGTATACCAATAGGAAAAGCAAAAGCATTTAAAAATTTTAATTGTATGTAAACATTTCGCATATACAATAATAAATTTTATAAATTATCGTAAACTCAAATCGAATCGACGCAAAATTTGTTTTTCCTAGTCGGATTCCTAAAGCTATTTATAATTCGCAATTTCCACTTTGCAAATGGATCAGTAACCATATCCGATATGCCCATATTCGCATTTGAGCAAATGCGAAAAAAAATGAAGTATATATATGAGAAAGAAGGTATACTCATATCTAAATGTCTTAAACAAGTTTATATAGAATTTGTCTAAGTTATAGTACTATCAAAAATCAAAGAGTTTGTTCAGACGAATAAGGGCAGATCGCTTCAGATAGAAATATATATCGCTTCAGATAGATAGAATATATATGTGCTTAGCTAGTTTTATAAAGCAACATATATAATATATATTTATTATAAGTAAAATTGCTAATATTAATTTAAATATTTTTTTTTAACGTGTTAGCTTAAATCACATTTTTACAGTCTTAGACTTAGCTTAAAAAATTGTATTATTCATTTAGATATTTTTCAAGGGCTTGGGAACTGTTGGACTCTCAAAATCTTCGCTGAACATCTTTATGGAACGCTGTTATTTAATATAATTTATTTTAGAAATGGAGAATGTTTTTTTGCGTAAAAATTATGTAAATTTCAATTCAAATTTGAAAAAGACTTCAACTAACTTTGCCAAGATGGAGTTCACACACAACATGAACTCTGGCGCGCTTTGTTATGTATAAAACCCAAGTATATTTATATATATATTATGTATATATACCATTTATAATGGCTCTCCACGCTGTATGGCCTCGCTTTACTCTTTGACCTTGTGGGCCGTTGAGTTTTTTTGTGTATGCGCAGTTTATTTTTCGTTTTCGTGATATTTTACGCTTTGTGGAAGCTTATCGGAAGCTCAGAATCAAGGGCACGCTTTGCAGCACAGCACACATCTGTTCGCGTGGGAGTGGGTGGGCGGACGAGCGGGGGAGCAGGCGAGCATGTTGTCAGGTCGACAAACCTTTAGGTGCAATTAGCAGCACTTGTAATCTTATCGCTGACATAAGAATCAGTTAATTATTTTAGTCTAACTAATGATTCCTGCTCTTTTCGTCCATTTCAGCACTTGGTCATGGCGAAGATGGCAGACGATGAGCATGGCACTGCTATGAGCTGCTAATTGGTGCAAAACCCCCAAAGCAAAGCAAAAAAAAAAAAAAACAAGAAAACAGAAAACTCTCTTGAATTATTGCACAGCAAGCTGAACCTCATGGTGTTGACTTTCGAAGATGCCTTCAGCAAACACCGAAGACTTGCGACGAAAGTTTCTAGTTGTGCAGCAGCAGCGCTCCGCACCGCCCAATCTGGCCAGCGAGAACCTGGCCCAGGCACAGTTGCAGCAGCACACAATGATGACGACTGCGCCGACAATGGCGATGGCGATGGCAACGACCAGCGGGGAGCCCGAGCGCACCTATGTGTTTCCGGGCACTCATCAGGTGGGCAACACATCAGCCATAGGCATGTCTGGTGGGCCGGGCATTCCGGGCGTGGCTATCATATCGAGCCATCCAACCACCACGCTTAACCCGGGCGGACCCTCGCGAGGGGGTCATGCGCGATCTGTCAGCCATGGAGGCGGCGCTATTACCGCTGTCGGTGCTGGCGGTCGACCCATCAAATCGGCCATGAAGGGCCACCAACGTGCCTTTTCCCAGGGTCAAATAACGGACTCGCCGCCAGGCAGTGGCGCGCCGGCCGGGCGTGGTCATAGCCGTGTGGGCTCCAAGACGGATTTCATTCTGCCGCCCGGTCACAAGGACGAGCCGGTCAGGGAGCGTGAATTTGGACCATCGGCGCCGAGTTCGGCAACTGGCGGACGCGGGCATTCCCGCCAGGCGTCCCGCTCCGAATCGATATACACGCTGCGCCGAACCGAAGCGCCGCCCTGGTGGAAACGCTTCACCCTGTGCAACTACAATACCAACGACAAATTCGAGGAGCGCTGCTATCGTATGGTGGTGCCCAATCACACGGTGCCGCCGAAGACACCCAAGCGGGAGCATCCCAATGGCCACTTCGTGGGCAACAAAATACGCACAACTAAATACACGCTACTCTCGTTCATACCGAAAAATCTGCTGGAACAGTTCCATCGCGTTGCCAATCTGTACTTTATTTTCATCGTGCTGCTAAACTGGGTGCCGGCCATCAATGCCTTTGGCAAGGAGGTGGCTATGATTCCGGTTATCTTCGTGCTGGGCGTTACGGCCGTCAAGGATTTGTTCGAGGATCGGCGTCGACGAGCGTCTGATAAGCGCATCAATAATACAACTTGTCGGGTCTATGACGGGTGAGTCCCATCTTTAATATGTGATAACAATAATTATGATATATAAGCCTCAGGTGTAAATTGCTTTAATGTTTTTAAAAGATAATGAATTCTTTTAATCAAGAATCAGACTAAAAACTTTTTTCTTGTAAAGTTAAAAAGTATTAAAAGTATTATAGATCTTTATTGTATCAGATTCGGACTTCAGGAAGTCTGTTTATTGGTGACTAAATCCTGTTGGAAATTTCATGTTTGCTTGAATTGTGGGACTTTAAGAGACCAGATTATGTATTAGCTTTAAACAGTTAAGTTTACAATGTCCATAACAGGCAGAAGTAGGCGTGGCTTAGGCAGCAGCAAAATCTCAACCAAATATTGATCAAATTTAAAATTTTGACAAAGCTTTAAAGGCATATCTCAGAAAGCAGAAGTACAAGAAATATAGAGAATAAACATATTCTGAATATTTTAAATTTCCCTAGTTGAGCACTTTTCTTCTAACATATGATCTTTATAGTTTATGGAGCATCATTTTCTATCCCTTAAATATGTTTTCCTCTTTGAAGTTTGATTTTATAACTGCTAAAAGATGGCCTAAAGCAGAAAATAGTTTTCAAATGTTTATTAAGTCTTTTTGTTAAGTAACTTTCCCTTGCCACAAATCTAAGCCAAAGAGAACAAGCAAAACCTTAAAGCTTCAAATGAGCTTGAATAAATGTTTGTCAGGTGCTCGGCGGCAGTTAAATTGAAGAATCTCGACCAGCTTTGGCTTAAGCAAAAGTTAGACCACTGATTGCGCATGCAAAGGCTGCGATATGTTCGCACAGATTATTTTTAAATGCAATCTAGAAATCGATAAACAGACATAAAGCGTAAGCAATAACGACGACAACGCCAGCAACAACAACAAGCTAACAAAGTTAAACTTTCCCTCAAAGTAACTTCGAGTGTTTGTGTGTGTTTGTGTGTGTGCGCTGCCCCCCTTTCAGCTTCCTCTGCCATGTCTGCGGTTCGGCTGTGTCCCACATTCGAGTGTCGCCGGCGCTCGCCTCGCCGCGTCGCAGCGCAATTCGCCGCAAGAGTTCCGTTTATTTATTTGCCTTGCACGCGTCAACTTTCCAACGAAGTGACAATTTGCTTAGTTGCATTGCATACGCAGCTGTTGCTTTGCCTGGCCTCTTCACTTGCCTGCAGCTTTAGGCACAGCCTTTGCTGCTGGATAATTACAGTTAGCTTCCAGTTTGGTTCCAATCAAATCCTGTTGTTACCGCTGTGTTAGCTGTAATAGTTATATAGTTATGGTGTACATAGTAAAAAGGGTATATTGGCTAGCTACGCATATTAGCTAATATTAGTTGAATACTTTAATTAAAAACATTCGCTGAAGTTTGATATAAAAAGGTTGCTATAAAAAAACATTACAGTTTAGCATTCACTCTGTACCTTAGTCATTTATGCCATAGTCAACACAGTCAATTTCCAATTAACTACGCTCTTAACAGTGCATGAAGCAGTCAGCTGCACTCGGCACACATGGCTTTTACTTGTTGCTATTGTTTTCTGCTCTGCTGATCAATGAACTTAGCAATTGTTGCTGCCCATTAAATTTGCATTTTCCCGTTTTGTTTTGCTCAAATTGTCATTAGCCTTTGTGATTGTATGCCCTGACCCAAAGGTATTTTGTGTAAGTCATGAATAATGTCTGGTACATTTTAAAGCATGTCTGGCTTATATTGATGAGACTTCTCTGTGCTTTTTTTTTTTATGAATGCAGTATGGATATTTATAAATATATGTATATGTATATGAGTCGACTGATAATGAAATTGAAAAAGGAGAATCAAGGTTTATGTATGAAGCTTCAGGTATGGACTTGGACTTCGTACGTAACTTAACCTATATTCTCTCTAGTACATAATAATGAGCACACAGTTAAAATCTGAACTGAACAAATTGAATTGTGTTGTTAGAGTATTTAATGGTCAATCTCATGCACTGCCTCAACTGTAGCCAGGTCAAAAGCAGAGCTTAATACGAATTACACATAGTGGTACAAAGATTAAGTTGTATTGCTAAAGAGCTTAAGTGCAGAGGAGGGTTTAATTTAAGAATTAGCACAACAGCAAAAGCAAAAATTTGAAATGCACTTTTAGCAACACTTATTTAAGCCTAAAGATGTATAAAGATATATGCTGATTCATAAAGAAGAGTAAATTGGTGGGCGAAACGTCCGTGTAGCCATCTGACTGGAAATAATTTCGCGCGTATTAAATCTCGTTTACAACCTTATTTAGCTACGTCCATTAGAAGCGTGAAATTTGGGAAAAACTTTATATTTTACAGCTTTACAGCAAGAGTCCCAATAAACTCTTGCAACTCACTGTGAGCTTAACAAATACCAAGAAAGGAAGTATATTTTCAAGCTAGGATCACCGAGAAGCTTTTCTCCAGATAGCGCTAAAAATTATGTAAATATAACTGTTTTAGCACGGTAAACGAGTATTGCCCAGTCGGTTGCGCCCGAACGCAACATTCTTACATTGTTATTTATGGCTTTCAAAGCCAATAGGTCTACCGGGTTACGGGCTGTGCTCATGGCTTCCGCGCATCAACAGTTACATGCAAAACAGAAAGACACTCATGCGCCTTGGCATACCAAATGTGGACGCTGCGTGGTGAGCAACAGGTAGCAGGCATGCAACCCATACAATCGGCCACCTGTCCGAGGGCCAATGGCACTTAGCCAATGTCCAGCAGCGACCCTGATCATCTCATGGTCTTCCAATTTCGCGCTTGCCCTGAAAACTGCCATCGAATTCGTGACCATGTGCAATGTTTGATAAATATGAATGAGTCACTGGAATGAGTCTTGGGGTCGTATCTGCGCTCTGCTGGCATTACTTGGCAACTTATTCGATTTGTGGCAATGGAAGTTTTAAAGTTTTATTTGTAAGCTGTTTATTCACTGGCAAACGTGAGACTTGTGCTCCAAACACACCTCCAAAAACCAATTCTCAAGTCTGTCAAATCCCCATTAAATGTGATAATTGAAATATTTGGTTCAAACTGCAAACAATTGTCTGAGACGTTAGGGTATATTAGCAAAAGGGGAAAAGAAGAAGAAAACATTTGCACAATTTTTAGATTACTTTTTTTAGCACATTGAAAATATGTGAAAGAATTAAGAATTAAGCCTGTTCATTTAAATGTTTTATTGAGCCCATTCGTAGTATTTTTACCTGAAGTTTATTGGCCTGAACTACTAAATCGTGACTGTGAGCGTTTGAACTTGTTGCTTACTTATTCAATCTGAGAATAATTCCTTTTGTTCACCAATTTGTAATATATAGATATTTTATTGATGTCTTCAGTATCTGTACCTGGGGGTAATTGAACAAAAGAAATTATACTTGATGGAATTTTTTGTCAATAACTTTCCTTCATGAACTGAACGTGAACTAATTCATGACTCAAAAATTAGCAATTAGGAAGGTTCGTTTTTATAAATTGCTAATTTAAATGAAATGTTAATTCAATTAAAATGCTAAATTTATATTATTAACAAAGTCTTTAGCTGTTGATCCATAAAAAGCCAAACCCAAAATTAACAGATCTTCAAAAAAATACGCCTAAATCTTGATAACAAAGCTGAAAATGAAACAAACAAATTATTTCCTTGAAATATATATGAACTGCATGCCATATCTAATTAAATCTAATTAAGAATACATTTTTTCCTTTGCGACAAATGAACTTTAATCACGTTGCCTTGTTCTTGACTTCAATGTTGAGTTTTACTGCTAGGCCAGGCGCTCATGATTTGTTCCTGAAAGCTGTGCAAAAAGCAATAAATCACAACATTCGCATCGTAACAGTGCAATAAAAAACTTGTGACAAGATTGTTGCATTTAAGTCACATAAGAAATTCCATTTTATCTGGGAGGTTTTTTCCATTCAGCATGGCTTTGGCGTATCAGCACAGTTCTTCGCAATCAATTGTGAACTGAACATTCCATTTACAATTACATAAGCTGGAATTCAAGGCAGGAAAGGAAAACATTATAAATCTTGCAACTGATTTGTATATGACTCTTTGTAGATATGATCAAAGAGGTCAAATGCTGACCTAATTATAAATAATGTTTATTAGCAATAAGATATCGAGTTGATTAACTAAATGATATGACAGTTGTATAGAAATTATACAAAATACTCGTTCTGCTGAACATGTTAGAAACACCTGTTTATTAACATAAGTTTATTTATTTTTTTTATAAACAAAGCGCTGAGGTCCATAAAGTATATATATTGTCAAGATGACGTTCAATAGCCGAGTCCATTTAGCCCCATCCATCTGTATGATGACATCTGCGAAAGTAAAATATCTGAGCACAACTAAAAAATAGCACGCACAAATAGATTTTCAAATAATCGATAACTTTTTTCATGATATCGATTGTTTTCAAAACGCAGTTAGAAGTTTTAATTCTAGAACTATACTAAGTTAAGTGCATTACTTCATCCAAAGTCTACGCTATGTAGTGAGCTCTACCTTATTTAGTAGGCCTTCCTAAACTCGGAATAACATGCTCATAAAAGTAATTTCAACGTATTTTTTTAATGAATTTTATCGAGTTTAATGACATTAGCACAAAGTACATTCGTAAGTAAAATCAGTTGTAGTTCGTGTAGCCGTGTAACTGATTGCTTAATAAGTGTACTAATAATGCCATTGTCTAGTTGACAATTTAGTGTTGTGGCTACGCCAGCTGCCGGCAATCCCAGAGTTCTCGATGCCAAGTGCGGACTTTCACCGAAATCGCATTAATATTCTAAAGCCGAGCCGTAGGGTGACAATTCGTTGCACCTAAACTCTTCGATTGACAAATAACACATGACGAGTTCAAGGCAAAATCACTAGAGCTTGTGTGGGCGAGAGGCCTTGAATGGCATTTGGTATTTACATTGGAAATATTATTGCATATCAAATAGAACTATTTATAAATTTATAAAAGGTTTCG